TCTGGCTGGGCCTCCCCTTTAGCCTCCAGGGCCTCTACACTTTCTGACTCTGGCTGGGCCTCCTCTTCTGCCTCCTGGGTCTCCCCTTCAGCCTCCTGGGTCTCCCCTTCAGCCTCCAGGGCCTCTACACCTTCTGACTCTGGCTGAGCCTCCCCTTCTGCCTCCTGGATCTCCCCTTCAGCCTCTGGGGCCTCTACGCCTTCTGCCTCCTTGGCTTCCCATTCAGCCTCCAGGGCCTCTACAATTTCTGACTCTGGCTGGTCCTCCCCTTCTACCTCTGGGGCCTCTACACCTTCTGAATCTGGCTGAGCCTCCCTTTCTGCTTCCTGGGTCTCCCCTTCAACCTCTGGGGCCTCTGTAATTTCTGACTCTGGCTGGGTCTCCTCTTCAGCCTCCTGGGCCTCCTGTTCTGCCTCCAGAACCTCTATACCTTTTGACTTTCGCTGGGCCTCCCCTTCTGCCTCTGGGGCCTCTACACCTTCTGACTCTGGCTGGGCCTTCCCTTCAGCCTCCTGGGCCTCCTCTGCTCCCTCCTGGGCCTCTACACCTTCTGACTCTGGCTGGGCCTCCCCTTCAGCCTCCTGGGCCTCTACACCTTCTGACTCTGGCTGGGCCTCCCCTTCAGCCTCCTGGGCCTCCTCTGCTCCCTCCTGGGCCTCTATACCTTCTGACTCTGGCTGGGCCTCCCCTTCTGCCGCCTGGGCCTCTACATCTTCTGACTCTGGCTGGGCCTCCCCTTCAGCCTCCTGGGCCTCCTCTTCTTCCTCCTGGGCCTCTACACCTTCTGACTCTGGCTGGGCCTCCCCTTCTGCCTCCTGGGCCTCCTCTTCTGCCTCCTGGGCCTCTACACCTTCTGACTCTGGCTGGGCCTCCCCTTCTGCCTCCTCGGCCTCTACACCTTCTGACTCTGGCTGGGCCTCTCCTTCAGCCTCCTGGGCCTCTACACCTTCTGACTCCTGGGCCTCTACACCTTCTGACTCTGGCTGGGCCTCCCCTTCAGCCTCCTGGGCCTCTACACCTTCTGTCTCTGGCTGGGCCTCCCCTTCAGCCTCCTGGACCTCCCCTTCTGCCTCCTGGGCCTCTACACCTTCTGACTCTGGTTGGGCCTCCCCTTCTGCCTCCTGGGCCTCCCCTTCGGCCTCCAGGGCCTCTATATCTTCTGACTCTGGCTGGGCCTCCTCTTCTGCTTCCTGGGCCTCTTTTTCTGCCTCTTGGCCCTCCTCTTCTGCCTCCTGAGTCTCCTCTTTGGCCTCCAGGGCCTCTATGCCTTCGGCTCCATCACTCTGTCTTGGATCTTGGTCACCTCCTGCCGCAGCTTCACCCTGCAAGTTGTCCTCATGCCCAGAGTCCTGGTCCCCAGTTTCTCCCCTCTCACCCACGCCCTCTCCCTCCAGCTCAGCTTCCTCCAGCTCACTGCTGGCGCTGGTTTTGCTGCTGTGGGTTTTCCCTTCTCTCTCCTGAGCCACGGCAGCTCGCTCTGCCTCCCCCAGTTTGGGATCTTTGCCTCTGTTGAGTCTCTGGCTCCCCTCGCTGTCCTCTTCCTCATCCACTCCAGGCCCTGGGCCCAGCCCCAGCCCTGGCCTCCCATCAGCTCCCTGGACAGTCCTGGTGCTTATGGGGTCCATGGGGGTCCTGCCAGGGACCACCTCTGCTGCCTCCCCATCGGTACGTTCTCCCTTCTTCCTCTGCAGAATCTGCCGCAGGTCAAAAGCCTCTCTGATGGGACCTCTGGTGGCCCCCCTTGTGTCCTTGGGGGACGTAGGGCTCACCTTCTTCCTCACGCAGGCCTCGCAAGGACAGAACTCCTCTCCCTCAGCCTCTGCACCTAGCTGGGTGCCCAGGGCTGTGCTGAGGGCCGGCTCGTCCTCCAGGGTGAAGGAGAGGGGCTCCAGGCCCAGCGTCCGCTCAGAGAAGGCCGAGAGGTTGCGCAGGCCCCAGAGGCGGTGTCTGCGCTGCTGGGTCTGCAGGAGCAGCTCCCCCGTGCGGGTCTCCCGGGGAGGCCCCAGCACCATCCGCTCCGCTCGGCTCTGGAGCTTCTGGAGCTCTCTCTCGGTGCTGCTCTGGAGGCGCCGGGCCACGTCCTGCTGCAGCTCGGCCACCATCTGGTCCAGCAGATCGTTGTCCTGCAGGCCCCAGCGTGCTCGGAGCTCAGCCACTGAGCTGGCAAGGTGGGCCAGGAAGGCCTTCTCTGTCTTCTTTAGCAACACAGACACCAAGATGGGGTCACAGTCCAGAGCCACTCTGCAGGCCACCGAAGAGCTCTTCTCTGCAGCCCCTTGGGTAGGTGGGGCCCGCGTGTGTTCCTGGCCCATCCAGGCAGCTCCAGGTGGCTTTTCCAAGCCAGGCTCAAGCTGGGAGCCACTTTGACTCTCACTGGCACTTGGGTCCATCTCATTGAGATGACTAAGGGGCTCCGTGGGCTCCTCTGTGCCCTCTGGGGGGCATGGCTCTGCAGAGGCAGAGGCTCTTCCCACTTCCTCCTCCTGGACTGCGTCCTCTTCCTGGGAGCCTTCCCCATCCAGAGAGCCGGCCTCTGACAATTCCTGTCCGCAGACGTGTCCTTCTTCTGGAAGCTCTTCCTCTTTGAGAACTTCTTCAAGAACCTCTTCTTGCAGTCCTCCTTCTGGTCCTTCTTTAACTTCCTCTAGCTGTGCCTCTTCTTGCAGCTGTTCTTCTGTTTCTTCTTTTGTTTCCTCGAACTGCACCTCTTCTTGCAGTTCTCCTCCTCCTGTTTCTTCTTTAGTTTCCTCTAACTGCGCCCCCTCTTCTTGAAGCCCTTCTCCTTCTGCTTCTTCTTCCACTTCCTCTAACTGCATCTCTTCTTGCAGTTCTGATTCCTCTTTGGTTTCCTCTAACTGCGTCCCCTCTTCTTGAAGCCTTTCTCCTTCTGCTGCTTCTTCCACTTCCTCTAACTGCACCTCTTCTTGCAGTTCTGATTCCTCTTTGGTTTCCTCTATCTGCGCCTCTTCTCCTTGCAGTTCTCCTGTTTCTTCTTTCATTTCCTCTAACTGCGCCTCTTCTCCTTGCAGTTCTCCTTCTGTTTCTTCTTTCATTTCCTCTAACTGCGCCTCTTCTCCTTGCAGTTCTCCTGTTTCTTCTTTCATTTCCTCTAACTGCGCCTCTTCTCCTTGCGGTTCTCCTTCTGTTCCTTCTTTAGTTTCCTCTAACTGCGCCTCCTCTTCTTGCATTGTGTTTTCAGCCATCTGCTCCTCCCTGTCTCTTTCTGCTTCCTCCTCCTTGGTGGCACAAGCGCAGGCTGGGGAACAACAGTGCTGTTGCTTTTCCAGATCCCCTGGGTTCTCAGAGGTTCTGGAATCAGACCTCTGGTTTGAGGTTTTCAGGGACAGCTCTGTCCCCTCAGGGACCAGAGTGCCATCCATGGCACAGGGTATGCTGCTCTCCCCTGAGCCTCCAGAGCCGCTACTGATGTCCACGCCAGAGGAGGACGTGGGCGTGAAGTTCTCTGTCACAGCATGGGACCCAAGGTCTGGCAGAGCCTGGCTCCACGTGAGCTCCCAGAGGCCCGAGTCCAGCTGGTCCTGCCCAAGGTCACATCCCGGCCACAGGTCCTTCGAGATGCGGAGCAACTCCTGGTACCGAGGGGAGTCTTTGAACCTCACTTTGCTGGCAGGAGACCCAGAGTCCTCATCAAAGAACTGGAGGCTGGCCAGACAGGTAATGAGGGCCCCGGCTGAGTGGCTGAGCCTCCTGGCCAAAGGCCGAGACACTTCGGGCACACTGCTGGGCCGGTTGTGCTTGGATCCCATCAGTGCCCTCATGATCTGCGTGGAGGCAGACACCCGGCCAGGAAGTGCCCGCAGGCCCACCCCACAGCTGACCGGGGCCCCTCTGTCCACTCCGGCCTCTGCAGGGGCTTCAGAAACTCCCTCTGGAGATGCCCCTTGGGGGATACCCTCTCCTGATGGGGGACCAACGTCACCACTCACCAGGAGGACTCCCTCTGGCTCTAGGTCCTGTCCAGCATCCCCTTCCAGGGGCTGTCTGGCGTCAGCTGGCTCCACCAGGCCTCCCAGAGCCTGGTCATCCCCAGGGTCCACCTCAGGGCCTCTCAGGCCATCCCCCGCTGCACCTGTGGTCTCGTCCACCATCTCATATGTCATGAATACGGGCTCTTCCGGAATGTTGTCCAGCCATTCTCGGACCACCGCCTCTGGAGTCGAGCGGGGCAGCGTGCCAGGGGACATGCCGCTAGCCTCCTCCTGCCCCTGGGGGTCTCCCCGACTAGCGGTCTTCTCCTGGGACAGCACCCCACACCTCACACCCTGGCTGGCGCCGCTGCTCCTAGATGCCCCTGAACTGGGGCCAGAGGACGCTGTGAGCTCTGCCTGGTGTGTCTCCTCCTCCTGCTGGCTCCCACCTGGCCCACAGGCAGCACTCCGGTGGCTGCTGCTGGTGCTGGCACAGCTGGAAGGGCGCCTCTCAGGGCAGGGCCGCCCCCTGGGTGGGGTGGGACAGTACCTGCCACACAGCCAGCGGGCCTCCAGGGAGGGTCCCCACTGGGCCTCTTGGGCCGACAGTGTCCCGGTCTGTGAGCAGGAGTGGCCTTGGTGGGGGTCTAATGCCCCTTGCTCAGGCCGTTCAACCTGCAGAACCAATGGCAAGGAGGGCTGCGGGGTGTCCTTGGCCTGATCCCCCAGGCTGGCCGCCCCAGATTTTGGGCAGGAGTTGGATGTGTGAGGCGGCATGGGGGCCGGTGAGCATGTCCTGGACCCTGCCTCCCCTGCCCACCCAGCAGAGGGAACGTTGTTGGGGGAGATCCCAGAGGCACAGTCCGGGTGGCCTGCAGGGGTGACAGTGGCACTGCTGGTTCCCAGAAGGTCCTGGGAAGGAAAAGAGCCCGAGGAGGGAGGTCTCAGGTCCCTGGAGGCTTGTGTCCTGGAGCTCGATGAGCTTCCAGAAGATCGTGGCACTGAGCCATCCCGGCAGGCCCTTCGCTGCTGAGGAGGCCTCGGCACTTGCTTGGTTGCAGGGGAGTCCAGCGGGCTGTGGGTGCCCCTGCAGTAGCGACACTGCCTGGGAGAGTCTCTTGGGGCCACTCGGCCAAGGCCAGGGCTGCTGGGTGAGGACACCGCACTGGCCCGGCTCTTGTGCCTTCTCCGCCTCTGCTGGGCTGAAGTGCAGGTGGGAGGGGTGGAAGAGGCTCCTTCTGAGTCCCAGGAGCTGGAAAGGCCCGAAGCCAGAGGCTCCCTCATCACAGATGCACCGCTGGCCTGCTGGTGCTCGGTGCCATGTCCTGGCATCTCCGCCTGCAGGTCCTCACTCCTTAAAGATGAAAGACTCAGGGCTGGAGAACCCAGGACGCCTCCCTCAGTGGCCTCCTGCTGGGAGGTCTCAGCCCTTACCTTGCCCAGGCAGCCCCGGGTCCGCCCGCCCCATTCGCTGGATCCTTCCCTGCTGCTGGCTGATGAGTCTGAAGAAGTCCTCTCCTCACTCTGGGCCCTGGATGTTAGGCGGCCGCCTTGCTCTGGGCTGCCCAGCCCTGCTCCGTCTGTGCACATGCTGGGCTCCTCACCCAGCCTCCCGCCAGCTTCCCACTCGGCCCCTCTCCGGGCAGAGGAGCTGCCACTGTCCATCCTGTCTTCTGGGATCCTGGGGCAGCAGGAAGAGTCTGGCTCTGAGCCCTCGGGGTGGCCGGTGCTGGAGGCGGGGCTGGCGCTGTCCTGGCTGCATCTCTCCCTCCCGGGAGCCCTGCAGTCCCACAGGCCACTGCAGCGGACATGCTGGGCCAGTCCCCACCTTTTCCGAGCTGCCACTCTCTCTCCCTGGGAGGCATGCAGGGGATTCGTCCAGATTTCATACTTGGGCCCTGGATGCCCACCTCGGCCAAAGGCTTCCCCGCATCCCACCCTGCAGGGCTGGGGTCCCCACACCCCAGGCTGTGAGAAGCCCCAGGGGTAGCCCTCCCACACATAGCAGAGAGGGTCCACCTCCCCCAGAACGGGGTCCTCCCCGCCGGCTGTGCTGAGGGCGGTGGCCCGGCCCATCCTCCGGGACCACAGAAGTGTGTCCTCGCCGACCAGGTGGAAGCGGACTTTCATCTCCACGGACAGGCTGCCGTCCTCGTTCATGCGGACCTTCTTCTTCATGTCATCGCCGGCCACCAGCGGGCCCGGCTGCGCCGGCGTGTCTTGAGGGTGCCTGTCAGGAGCAGGGCCCGCCAGCAGGTCACTGGGACCAGGCCTCTCTGGCAGCTGTGGCCTGCTGCCTGACTGGGACCGTGAATGGATCACGCTCGGCTTGGTCTTTGGCCCCCAGCTCCCTGGCATGCAGCAAAGAGGAAAAGAAAAGAGGAAAAGATGATACAGTCATGAGTCTGCCACCACCTGGATACCACCACTGCCTCCAAAATGCACGGTAAGGGCCAGGCGCAGTGGCTCATGCTGGTAATCCAAGCACCCAACCGAGGCGGGAGGACTGCCTGAGCTCAGGGTTTCAAGACCAGCCTGGGCAACATAATGAGACGCCATCTCTACAAAAAAAAAAAGTTAAAAAATAATTAGCTAAGCATGGTAGTATGCCCTACAGTCCCAGCTTCCTAGCTACTTGGAAGGCCGAGGCGGGAGAATCCCCTGAGTCCCAGAGTTCGAGGCTGCAGTGAGCTGTGTGCCACTGCACTCCAACCTGGATGACAGAGTGAGACCATTAAAAAAAAAAAGAGCATGTTAAGGGCAGAGCTATTCTAGAATGACAATCCACAGAGCTACCAGTCTGTGAACTGGCATCGTCTAGCAAGGAGAACTTGAGCCTGAATTCAGTCTCAACTCTGCCACTTCCTAGCTGCATAGTTTTTGGCAGAGCCTGTTTTCTCAACCGTAAAATAAGCATAATAATATTGATCGAGTCGGTTCATATTAATGCATGGCCATACATATAAAACTTCCTCCATCGTTGCTGGCACACAGTAGGCTCTCGAGAGATGCACACTTGGCAGGCAGAGCGGCAGTGCCCAGAGCTTGCTCCTAGCCCTCCTCATGCCCACCGCCAGCTCAGAAGGTGAAATCGATAAACTGCTGCATATGACCCTGATTGTTAACTGTTATATGCCCTGCGATTATTAGTGGTGATTTATCACCCTAACCCTCATCAAGCTCCTGGGTTGATAATTGATTGCAGGGAAAGACCCGGCTGCACCGTATCAGGTCCTGCTAGTCAAGCCTGCACCCCAGCCATGAAAGAGAGAAGAAAGGGCCGCTGGGGATGCAAAGGAGTGGCTCTAAGGAAGGATGCACCAGGCATGGTGGCTCACACCTGTAATCCCGGCACTTTGGGAGGCCAAGGTAGGTGGATCACCTGAGGTCAGGAGTTCGAGACCAGACTGACCAACGTGGGGAAACCCCGTCTCTATTAAAAATGCAAAAAAATAGCTGGGGGTTGTGGCAGGTGCCTGTAATTCCAGCTACTTGGGAGGCTGAGGTACGAAAATTGCTGGAACCCAGGAGGCAGAGGTTGCAGTAAGCCAAGATCACGTTACTGCACTCCAGCCTAGGTGATAGAGCAACACTCTGTTTCAAAAAAAGAAAAAAAAAAAAAAGGATGAATGAATGAAGCCCTTAAGTGCTTTCGAATTTCATCTTCAGAGCCAACACGCGGCAAGAGGGTAGTGCTAGCAGAGGCTGAGTCTACAGTCAGCAAAAGAACAGACCTCAGGTGCACATCTGGGCAGAAGATGGTTTTGCCCAGTCCTGCCCCCCCACAGGGGCCAAATGAGGCTGAGGACTCCTCCAGGGAGGGGCCCAGAGTAAATTGTCCTTGTGCCTCCACTATCTGTCCTACAGGGATCACTGAGCCTGTCCTTGTTGGTATTTGCTGAGCTTTTCACAAAGGATAGTAAGTACTTTGTTTAGTAAGTACTTTGTTTACTCATCCCATTTTTCCATTATCAAACTGCATTTGTTAATTGTGCTTTTAAAAACTAAGTGTGTGTGGTTTTAAAGAATAACATAGTACAGACTGGCTCATTGGCTGGCTGGCTGGCTGGCTGGATGACCCATGGCCTTGGTTAGTTTTAGTTCTTTTGCCCCCGTGCAGGCCACCACTGTTGCCTGAGACTGTCGTGACCATGAAAGGATGTCACAACACACACAGCCCATTGCTGCCATGATGTCATGCCCACTGCAGTTGTTCCTTTTTGAGACAGGGTCTCTGTTGCCTGGGCTGGAGAGCAGTGGCGTGACCATGACTTACTGAAGTCTCAAACTCCTGGGCTCAAATGATCCTCCCACCTCTGCCTCCTAAGTAGCTGGGACCACAGGCATGTGCCACCATGCCTGGCTAATTTGTTCATTTACTTATTTATTTTTTCGGTAAAGGCAGGGTCTTGCTCTGTTGTCTAGGCCTGTCTTGAACTCCTGGGCTCAAGTGATCTTCCTGCCCTGGCCTCCCAAACTGCTGGGATTACAGGTGTGAGCCTCTGCGCCTGTGGTTCTTAATAAAATTTATTTTAGATTCTAGAAATTTCAAGTTCAAGATGTCTTAATCCCTGTTCTATTTATTTATTTATTTAGAGACAGGCTCCCTTCTCTGCCATCCAGGCTGGATTGAAGTGGTACAATCACGGCTCACTGCAGCCTCAACCTCACAGGCTCAAGTGATCCTCCCACCTCAGACTCTCAAGTAGCTGGAACTATAGGCATGTGCCATTATGCCTGGCCAAATTTTTTGTATTTTTTTGTAGCGACAGAGTCTTATTATGTTGCCCAGGTTGGTGGACTCAAGCAGTCCTCTCACTTTGGCCTCCCAAAGTGCTGAAATTACAGACATGAGCCACTGTACCCAGCCTCTGTTCCTTTTATATGCCAAGCACTGCCTTCTCCTATCTCAGTCAAATGTTCAACCCGAGTGAGGCTGACAGTGATGAGAAGAAGGAAGAGGCAAGAGAGATACCAAAATGACTGGGATACCTAAGATTTGGGGCCAAAGGGAAGTTTCCCAAATTATCTGGAAGGTATCCACTCAGCCCTACTGAACCACCATCCAGGGCAAATCAGATGGGAGAAATTCAAACACCAACTCACCGTTTTTGTTTCTTGAAGTCAGCCCAGATAAAGTTCCAGCCTCACTTCTCCTGGCATTTTCCATGGCTGGAGGTCTGAAGGCCTCATACCCGGCGCATACCAGCACGGAGGGGCTGTGCAGCAGGGCCTGCAGTGAGTCCACCTGAGGGAGGGCGAGGGGTCAGGAGGCCTGGGCTGCAGACACCCTCTGTCCCAAGGCCTGGGGGAGGAAGGCCAGTCTCGCCAGCCCTGTCCTGATTTCTGCCCATCTCACCCCTGTTTCCTGGTCCAAGGAGGAGTCTTTTCCACTCCCCCTAGCACCTCCATCACTAGCTGGGGGCTGAGGTCCCACCACCATGATCTCCCGCTCTAACTATACCCCTCCCTCCACCAGGTGTGAGGCCTGTGATCGAAGGTCACTCTGGATGCCGCTGCTGCGAAAGACGTCTGCAGGCTGCGTCTCTGCCCACATGTCCAGCCTCTAGAACATGTATTCCCTGAAGCAGCCAGAGCAGCACCTGCTCCAGCTCCCACAGGGAGGCCTGATTCACTCTCTCACCCTTTTCCCAAATGGAGGAGCCTCTGTGCTGCCTGACCTGTGTTTTCTAGTACAATCTGAGTCTGTTGCCTCTTCCTCTGCCCAAGTGGTGAGGAAGAGGGGCTAGGCACCACTCTCCCTGCAGGGACCCCTTCTCTTCCAGACTCCTGCAATGGTATCTAAGGTCCTGGCCCTCCCCAGACCCATCAGGATATCCTCTACCCACTGCTGGGCTCAGGGCAGGCCATGTCACTGCAGTACTCCATTCCAGTAGACAGGTCCCTGGACCCAGAGGCCCCTGCAGATCTCAGGGTTTGCACTGTTGATGGGATTACATTGTAATTAGCAATGCTGGGGAACGTATCTCCATCTTTAAAGCATAGAGCATGTTCTTTTTCATTTTCTAAAATTAGAAAGGTATGCTCATTAACAAAAAAAATGAAAGAGGAAACATTACATTATCTTTCCCAAAAATATGTCATAGAAATGTGTTGTGCACTAGGTCTTTCAGCCTAGCAAATTAGAAGTTGGTTTTAAATGACTAGGTCCATGGCTTCTTTGCCTTTTGGCTAAGACCAAGTGTAAATGACTAGGTCCATTTCTTCTTTGATTTAGATTTCTAGTCCATCAAAAAAATACAAACATGACCCAAGTCTATGAATTCATAGATGCAGCCATGCTTCTAGGGAATCAGACTCTCCAGGAAAGAAGAAAATATTAAAGACTAAATGATGCTCCCATTCCTAGGGAGAGGCAGAAGCCTAAAATCCACAGGAAAAGGAGCATTTTCAAGAACAACTATCCGGGAGGGAACGCGAACGTTGATAATCATGTTTTGATTCTTCCTGGGGAGAAAGGAGGTCATTATGTTTACAGAAACTCTAACAGCTCTGCAATAAGTCTAGGTGAAAATACCCTAATGTCTTTCCTCCGGTTCACTCATATTGTGCCAGCTCTCTCCATCGCCGCACCCACTAAAATGTAGCTAACTCAAGGTAGGGATCTTGTCTCATTTGTCTGTTTATACGGCACACGCTAGTCCATGGTAATGCACGCCAACTCAAAAGCATCCTTGCATTACATTGCAATTAGCAATGCTTGCGGATGTATTTCCATCTTTAAAGCACAGGGCATGTTCTTTTTCCTTTTCCAAACATGTTAGCTCTATCATTTGCCACCCAGGCAACTAGGAGCAAATTATTTAATCTCTGTGCTTGACTTTTCTTATCTGTCCCAAGGGGATAATAATATCAGCTACCAGCCAAATGCAGTGGCTCACATCTGTAATCTCAGAACTTTGAGAGGCTGAGGCAAGTAGATCCCTTGAGCCCAGGAGTTTGAGATCAGCCTGGGCAATATGGTGAAACCCTGTTTCTACTAAAAAATACCAATAAAATTAGCCAGGCGTAGTGGCATGTGACTGCAATTCCAGCTGCTTGGGAGGCTGAGGTGGAAGGATCACTTGAGCCCAGGAGGTCGAGGCTGCAATGAGCTGAGATTGTGCTACTACACTTCAGCCCGGGCAACAGAGTCAGAGGCTGTCTCAAATATTAATAATAATAATGAATAATAGTAATATATCAGGTACCTGGTGAGTTTGTGTGGTGAATGCTAAGCCCTAGACCAGCTACTTCTATCCCACTCTGTTTCTGGTGTGCTTTCCAGTACTGCAGAGATTTCTTTGTTTGTTTTGGTTTTGTTTGTTTGTTTGTTTTTGAGACGGAGTCTTGCTCGGTCGCTCAGGCTGGAGTGCAGTGGTGCAACCTCCACCTCCCAGTTCCAAGCGATTCTTCTGCCTCAGCCTCCGAGTAGCTGGGACTACAGGCATGCACAACCATGCCAGGCTAATTTTGAATTTTTTGTAGAGTTGGAGTTTCCCCATGTTGGCCAGGCTGGTCTCGAACTTCTGACCTCAAGTGATCCACCTGCCTTGGCCTCCCAAAGTGCTGGGATTACAGGTGTGAACCACCACACTTGGCCCAGGACTGCAGAGTTTAGAAAGCTGCCAGCCCATTTCCTGAACTCCCTTGCAGCTTGGTGTCTAAATGCAAAATAAGTCTCACTAATTAGATGCACTTGTGCAGGGCGTGGAACATGGCGGCGAAGCAGAGGTCATCTTCCTTTTGTTCCTGACTCTTGCCACAAGCAAAATGAAGTCAAAGATGCAGAGAGACGTGTGCCGCTGAGACGGCAAAAGATGCCCTCGTTGTTCTAGTACCCATCATCTTCCCATCTGGGATCCCAGCAATGGTGGGGTAATTCAGAGCTCAGTCATTCCAGAGGCAATCCCCAAAACCCCCTTTCCTCATTTCATAGACACCACTGACAGGTTGGTCTGAAGCATTCTGGGAGTCTTTTCCAGGACCCAGCCTGTGCTCCTCCAGCCTTTCAGTGAATCTCTAAGCATCAAACACTCTGAGTGTAATTCCTTCCTGCTTAAGATGCTGAGAGAGGATTCTGTTTCCCATACTGAAGCATGGCTGACACAGAGTATCACATCGGAGGTGGCCACAGGCAATGGACCTTCAAAGATAGGAATCTGGGATTCATGTTCTCATCTGGATGATGTGAAGGTGGTGATAAACTGGTGACAATGGGGCATTCGTAGTATGTGGCACACAAGTGACAACACAGTTCTTAGATGATCCCCTCTGATAGTAGAAAGCAGTGCTTCCTGAGAGCAGGACTTGGACCCTCCACTGGCTGTGGGGATAGCCTCTTCGAATGAGAGTGAGAACTGCAAGGGCTATGGAGTGGGCTGGCCACTTCCAACTGTTGAAAAATGGCAAGTTCAAGGTCTAAGCCCTAACTCGAGGATGGCCAGAGGACCTGGGGGCTTCTGCAACTGCTGTCAAAGAGTCTCTTTTCTCTTGTTGCCAAAACTCAAATGCAGAACTGCTTCTGCTGGTGGCTGAAAGATAACTGAACCTGGTGTTAGGTGTGCCATCAAGCCATAAAGCAGGGGTGCTGTGCGGAGTGGACCCTGATCACCAGGTGGAGGTGACACAGACTAGATCAGGGTCAAGAAGCTTGACTGAGGCATCAGTAAGTTGCTCGAGCAGGAGGCTCACACCCCAGCTCACCTGCTCCTGCCGTGTTTCCGTCCCTCCTCAGCACACACCTATGACTTCCTAGGAAATTCCCCGTCCCAGCTAACTGAAGAAGAAAAGATTCTATTCTGGCTTTCAGACAGTTGCCGAGAGTATGCTGACATGACCAAGGGGTGGCTGCTGTGTTGACAGACTCGCTTGGGCCATGAAGGGCAGTGGGGAAGGAAAACCCAGGGGACAGAGTGATTTGGTGACTACTTGGAAGAAGCAATGGCAAGAGGTTCTAGAGTAATTTATGGGCAGTGGGCAGTGGTTAGCAGTTAAATCTGACAATCAAGGGACTTGAAGGAAGGGGACTGGAGGATGGGTGACAGGAAGTCCAGAGACGAATCTGAATGGATCACTCAGAACTGGCCCAGAGGGTGCGAACATTGGTGACCCCCGTGCATGTTTACCAAAAGATGAAAATCTTGTGGATACAATGACCAGCTCTGCAAAGTCAACCATCTGCTTCCTCCAGCCACCCCAGGTATGCTCAGGCAGCTCCTGAACAAAGTGGCAAAGAGGCTTCAACTAGCAGCAGACGCTCCACCTCATTCAAGCAAACCTGGCTGCCCCCTCTGCTCATGGCCTGATCTGCTAAGAGCAGAGACCCAGTGATTCACATCAGACCTTGAGGGACGCAGCCGGACCCCTGGTGGAAACCTAATGACATCAAACCGCTCTGATATGGTGGTGTTCAGCAATCTGTGCCCACTGTAACAGACACCTGCTTCACAGGTAGATTTTGAACCTGGCCCATCATCCTTCTCTGCCCTCCATGGACTCACCGAATGCCTTGCTCATCCTTGCCAAAACCCAGGAAGATCCATGCAAAGTTCCATCCAAATGACTGATTTTATAGCAAAGATGTGAGATGGGCTAACACCCATGGAACTCACTGTGTGGCCATGTACCCCATCACCCAAAGCAGCTCTAACTTATGAAACAATAGAATATTCTATGGAAGACCCAGTTTGGGCAGCAGCTAGAAGACGTCACTTTATGATGTTGGAATGTTGTCTTACAGGATGTGATATGTGCTCTGAACTACCAACTGATACTTAGTGCTGTTTCTCTGGCAATAAGACACCTGTGACCTCACTGCACACATTCTGCTTTCCATCCCAACAGTTTTGGTCTCTGCAAGCTATACAGTGAATCCCATGGGTGTTGGTCCACTCTCTCACTTCTTTTGCTATAAAATTAGTTCTCCGGATAGAAGTGATCTGCATGGGTTATGGCATAGGTTTGGAAGGCTCAGGACCCAAGGGAGAATGATGCTTCTTAGAAGACACAAGAGTGGGCTGGACATGGTGGCTCACACCTGTAATCTCAGCACTTTGGGAGGCCGAGGTGTGTGGATCACCTGAGGTCGGAAGTTTGAGACCAGCGTGGCCAACATGGTGAAACTTCATCTCTACTAAAAATATGAAAATTAGCCAGGTATAGTGGTGGGCTCCTGTAATTCCAGCTACTTGGGAGCCCGATGCAAGAGAATCACTTGAATTTGTGAGACCAAGGTTGCAGTGAGCCGAGATTGCACCACTGCACTCCAGCCTGGGCAATAAGAGTGAGAGTCTGTCTCTAAAAAGAAGGACTAGGAGGAGGGGGCGGGGGAGAAGGAGGAGGAGGACGATGAACAACAATAACAACAACACAACAGTGGCCCCATGGAGCTGAAAACTGAAATAGTTGCCTTGGACATACAAGGCTTCTCATGACAATAAACCAACAGGCAACAAGGAGATCCTGTGTTGGATGGGGTGGTTGGTTCTGATTGTCCAAGGGAGAAATAGAGCTATTACATAATGGGACAGGGAAGAAGTCACCTGTTTCCCAGGCAGCCTATTGGCTGTCATGTCCAGGGGTAAACACGAACACAAGACCACAGCAGCCCCATCTAGTGAGGAACCCCAAGGGCTCAGACTTCTCGGGAAAATGGTTCAGTCACTCTGCCAGGTACATAACCATAATCAGCTGAGGTGCTGGTGGGAGACAGAGGAACAGGGAGTGAGTGGAAAGAAGCTTTAAACACCAACAACGGCCTTGTGGTAGATAATTTTCTTCACAGCTCTGCTAGGTATACATATTCATCAGTTTCGCTTTTCTTTGCTCTTTATTTCCTATACTACTTTGATGGTGCTGGACTACATAAATAGACCTTGAGATAAGGGGATATCAAGGTGAGGTTGTCACAGAATAGAAGACGAAGGGTCAGTGACAATGTGACTGGGGGAAGCAGGTGAAAGGGTTTCTGATTGTAGGAGGAGAGCTCTATTACTACATGAGTGCAAGTTACTGTAGCTGATGTTTATGATGAAGGTTTTATAATGATGTTATGATTTTTTTTTTTTTTGAGACAAAGTCTGGCTCTGTCACCCAGGCTGGAGTGCAGTGTGGGATCTTGGCTCACTGCAGCCTCTGCCTCTCAGGTTCCAGCAATTCTCCTGCGTCAGCCTCCCAAGTAGCAGGGATTACAGGCATGTGCCACCATGCCTGGCTAATTTTTGTATTTTTAGTAGAGATGGGGTTTCATCATGTTGGCCAGGCTGGTCTCGAACTCCTGACCTCAGGTGATCTGCCCGCCTCATCCTCCCAAAGTGCTGGGATTACTGGTGTGAGCCACCACATCCAGTGATGTTTATGAAGGTGGAATGGTGCATACAGATGTTAAGTAGCAACAGGTCTGAATCTTGAGGAGACTGAATTAGATCAGTCAACCTCCATCATCAATTCTGCCCACCTTTCATGGAAATTCATGTTCTGCAGAACCTGGAAAGGCAAAAATTACATCCATGGATGTCCCTGAACTCAATAATCATAGCGGCTTCCTGCAGAGGTAGTAGCTTCCTGCATGTGCTGGGAGCCATTCCTGCAGACCCAGCTTCCAATTCAACCTCTGGCTTCCCAAAGATTTGGAAGCCCTCCAATGCCCTGTATTAAATCACCTTCTAATTAAGGTACCTTGAGTGGTTTCTGTTTCCTGCACTGAACTCCTGCATTAATAGGTTATTAGATAAGACAACAACAAGAGTACACAAGGCACAATGCCTGGCACTTACCACATCCTCTCTCAATGCAACTAAAAACATGAATCACAACTGCTTGTTGATTAATTGACTTGACTGAACATCTCCATGCTATTCATGTTTAGTTAGTAGGAGGGCAATCAAGTGCCGTTTTTAAGGAATAATCTCCCTCTTCCACGTGAATATTTTGACTTGGGGGTCTAAAGAACTTTTTCAAGGAACCATCAGACCCCGACGGCCTACCTTTTTCCCGCTGGTTGTGTACACCTGCTTCACAGGAAAGCACAACAGATCTGAGGCTTTGCTGAGAAAGGCAGCCAGGCTTCTCATATTCCTGTGACTGAGGACCACTGTCTGCTGGAGGCGAGGGTCTGTGTTCTTAACCAACAGTATCTTCCGGGGAGTTTTAAGACTCTTCCGGGAGGAGGATGTTCCTGGGGCTTCACGCCGGCCTTTGATATCCCGCAAATGTGGAGCAGTGGGGCTTCTCCCCTGTGGCCAGCCTGGCCCACTGGGGGTCTTGGGGGGCTTCTTATCAGAGCATAGATAGCAGCCACCATCTTCCAGCTGCTCCAGGGCACTGAGGCTGTGCAGGCCCCGGGGTGTGGTGACAGAGCGCACCCCAAAGGAGAGAGGCATGCGCTGAGAGAGCTCGTCCATGAGGGCGCTAAAGGTCTTAAAGGCGCGCTGGTGAACGGCTAGGCGGACCCCAGCAAACTGTGGATCCCCTCGCTTGAGGAAGGTAATCTTCTTGGCTGGAGTGACCTTGGTGACCGAGGGGGTGCGAGCCACAGAGGGCAGGAGGCACTCACGGTGGCTCAGGGCCTGGGTATCCCTTGGCGTGATGTTCATGATGTGGCGGCTCTGGTAGCTGTAACAGGTCAGAGAAAGAGGGGTCAGAGAGCAGGTTGGGAGACTGGCATTTTCTGTCTCTCCCCTTCTTTGCAGAGGTGCTTCCAGCGCACCCCAAATGTGTCCCACTCCACTATGGAAAGGCAGGTGAATCTATGTGGATGGAATAGAAGGAAAGACAGAAGTTGGGCATGGGACAGATCTGTGTTCAAATCCCAGCCTCGTGGACTGCTTGAGTTCAGGAGTTCAAGACCAGCTTGGGCAACATGGCAAAACCCCATCTCTACTAAAAATACAAAAAATAGCCAGGGTGGTGTACACCTGTGGTCCCAGCTACTCAGGAGGCTGAGGTGGGAGGATGGTTGGAGCCTGGCAAGTTAAGGCTGCAGTGAGCCATGATCATGCCACTGCATTCTAGGCTGGGCAATATGGCAAGACCCCGTCTCAAAAAAAAAAAAAAAAAAAAAAAAAAAAAAATTCCAGCCCCACCACCTATTCCTGTGTGGCCCAGAAGGTTAAGGATGTGATCTGGATTTTGGTGGCCCCCATCTGTAAAATGCAGCTGTAGCCAATCTGCTCTGCATAGTGGTTATGATCATCAGATGAGTCTAGACATGAAAGTACCTGACACTGAGCAAGTATCTATCTATCTATCTATCTATCTATCTATCTGTCTATATTTTTTTGAGACAGAGTCTCGCTCTGTCACCCAGGCTGGAGTGCAGTGGTGCACTCTTAGCTTACTGCAACCTCCACCTCCCGGGTTCAAGCGATTTTTGCGCCTCAGCGTCCTGAGTAGCTGGGGTCACAGATGTATGCCACCACACCCAGCTAAGTTTTGTATTTTTTTGTAGAGACAGGGTTTTGCCATGTTTGCCAGGCTGGTCTCGAACTCCTGACCTCAGGTGATCCACCCACCTCGGCCTCCCAAAGTACTGGAATTACAGGTGTGAGTCACCATGCCCGGCAATAAATCTTTACTTCTTTCCTTCCTGTTGTTTCTCTTGCCCACTTCTACCAACCTTGAACTTTTTTGAATAGCATTTTAGCAGTTTGTCTCTAAGGAGGTGAGTAAGTGAAGAGAAGACCATGAAACAGAGGTACGAAAGCCGGACAGAGACTCAGGAGGCTTGGGCAGCACACCCCACTCGTGAGGTCTCCCTGTGCGGCCCCTGGGGGTTCTTGCCTCTTTGGACTCCCCCTCTCCAGATGTTCTGTGAAAGGGCTAGAGTGGAAGGCACGGGTCCCAAGCCACGCAGGGACAGGAGTGCAGACAGGGAGATTTGGAGCTCTGTGTCCTTAACCCAAATGGGGAGACACTGTTTGACGCTGTGTGTCTTCTGCATTATATATTGAGGTTTGCTTTCATGTAACCATGATGCTGCATCTTACATTTCCCCGAAGTCTGTGCAAGGTGCACGATAAATCCTATAGGTGAATATCTCGGCCACTGCCGCCAGCATGGGAGAGGGGGCTCAGAGCTGCTGTGGGAGGTCAAGGCCATTCTCCCATAGTCCGTTCCTGTTCCCACTTCCTGCCAGAGGGGAGCCCACAGCCTCACATGGGGCTGCACAGGCCTTCTGTGCTCTTCTCAGCCCAGGAGGCCACACCTGCTCTGGGCACCTCACCTCCCGCTTCTTGCCCACATGAGAATTCCCCATTCCCACCAGGCTGCCTGGTTGCAAGGGTTTCCTACAAGGTGGCCCCTACCTCGCTTTCCTTCTTCGCAGATTTTTACTCAGCCCCCACGAGCCCAGGGAACCCCCCCTCTTCATTACAGCTCCTCCTCTGGGCCTGTGCCCTTTCTGGCCAACTCCACCAGGGCCCGGGAGGCAGAACCTCTGCTCCCCAGGGCTCCGGTCCTGCATTCTGCACAGAGTCAGGCCTGAGAAACGCACACAGATGAGGAAAGCTGATGCTTCCTAGAGCCAGGACTGTTGGAAGCTGGCCCTGAGCACTTACCAGGGGCAAGGAGTCGTCCCAGCTTACAGGTGGCTCAGCCCAGGACCCCTGTTGGTGTGCAAGGCCATGGGCAGCAGTGGTCCTCCCTGCCGTGGCCATTGTGCCATTTCCAGGGTAACTGGGGCCCCCATCTCCCCTTCTCACCTTCCTCTCCATGTAGCCCTATTTGTCCTAAGGGAAAAATCTCTTCTCTCTTTTTCAAAATCGTGGTGCAGAAAAAGACCTGATAATCTGCCCTCATCTCTGACACAAGATTTAAAATTAGCTGGGCCACCTCCTCCCACCTAACTTTAATCCTTGGAAGCTGCTGTTCCCAGCCCTCAGCTAACCTCCCTGCCAGGCTGGAGCACTTCCCCCAGACACTGCTGTGGGACAGCCCTTCTTCTAGCATCTTTCATTTGTACCTGGCACTGTGAGCATCCATCTGGCGCACGCTGAGGGAGCTAAAGAAATGAAGCCCGCCTTGTCCCCAGTGTCACTGTGTCTCTCAGCACCATGTCCCCAGCATAACTGTATTATGTATCTTCATTTCCCCTGGAATCACTGTATCCCAGGAACACCATGTCCCCAGCTTCACCCTGGCCCTAGTGTGATCATGTCCCTCAGCAACATGAGGTCTTCAGCATCACTGTGTTCCCAGCATTACAATGTCCCAGCATCACATGTCCTAAGTGTCACCATGTCTTTAGCATTACAATGTCCCAAGCATCACAATGTGCCGGGTGCCCAGCACCACAATTACATCCCCAGCACTGCCATGTTTTCACCCTCACAATGTCACCAGCACTGCCATGCTCACCATTACTGTGTACCCAGCATCACCATGTCTTCAGTGTCACCATGTCCCCCAGCACTGCCATGTCCCCAAAATGACCATGTCCTTCAGCATTACCATATACCCAGCACCTCCATGTTCCCAATACTTCCATGAACCCAGCATTACCATGTCCCCAAGCACTTCCAGGTCCCCAGCACCTCCATGTCCCCAAATACCTCCATGAACTTGGCATTACCATGTCCCCAAAATGACCATGTCCTCCAGCATTACCATATCCCAGCACCTCCATGTCCCCAATACCTCCATGAACCCAGCACTAGCACATCCCCAGCACCATCATATCTCTAGCACCACCATGTCCCCAGCATCACCATGCTCCCAGAGTCACATGCCTTCAGAGTCACCATGTCCCCAGAACCACTGTGAAGCCAGAACTACTGTGTCCCCAGCATAACCATGTCCCCAGTACCTCCATGTCCCCAGAATCATGTCCCCAGCACCTCCATGTCCCCAGAATCATGATGTTTCCAGGACC